ACGACGACTACTGCTACTAATACTACAGCTGCTGCTGTTATTCCTACTCCTATTGCTCCTACTCCTCATCCTACTCCTCATCCTACTCCCACTACTCCTCCGACTACTCTACTCCTACTCCTACTTCCCCTCCTACTCCTGCTCCTACTCTTATTCCCACTCCTACTCCTACTCTTATTCCTACTCTTACTCCTACCCCTCCTCCTACAGCTGCTACTGCAACTGCTCCTGCTACTGGTCTTATTCCAGGCCGAGGACAACACGCCCCTAACATCTCTATCTCCAGGAGACTGGAGCTCTTTGATGAAGAACTCAGGAAGCATGTCAAAGGAAGCGCCTCAAAAAGTACTAGGAGCCTGAACTACGAGCAGCATGGAGAATAAATGCTATTTCCCCCAGCCCGAGCCCCTAAATTACACCCAAGCTCTCCGCCGAGATCGTCAGCCCATTTTAGCGTGCCTGCCGTTTAGGGTTTGGGCTCTACGACTCCACAAGAGGCTTCGCTAGAGAAGTGGAGTGTTCAAGTCACCATCCAGGAAGCTGCCAGAACCGTACAAGACCATGGACACCAACCGACTGCCCCGGCCTCGGTCTACCACATTCGCAGTTTGCCCTATCTTCGAGTGCCAATAGCAAGCATCTCTTTGAATACGAGGTGAGTGTAACGAGGGTGCCAACAATGGGATTGCATGCATCGAGGACGCTGCTTTATTTCAGCGTTTCTGGGCTGGACTTACTGGGGAAGCTGGACGAGCTGGATCGGGAGCAAACCATCGAGTGCCCGTGGCTGGCAATTCGCGGTTGAGGTTTTTAAGCGGCAATCCTCTTGGATTCTAAAAATCAGAACCTCCAAGTCCTGCCAGCAGGACACCAAAACAGTCCTAGCGACGCTCCGTTTCTGTAACTTTTTGGCCTGAGAATCTTGCGACGAGTTCGTGGAACTTGGTTTTGGGTCTATTTTTGCCAGAAGGTAGAATGGCAGAATCGAGCAACGTAAATGACCTCCTTGTCTGCGTGTCTCTACTTGTAAGTGCTCCTTCAGTGTGCGTCGCTGTGTTCGGGATTGGAGCCATTCCCTTTTTACATTGTCTCAGAAGGACTGGAATGCGAGTTGCCAGCCAGACGTGATGTAGGTCGGGGTTCTTGGGAAACCCTGAGTCCCAGGCCAGCAGGCTCAAGGCCCAGAGTAAGTTCAAGCCTTGAGGGTCCTTTAGGGTGTAGGATCGTTTGATGTCAGCCCAGGTATATCTATTCCTACCAGTCGCCGCTACCGGACCATGGCGGCTTTTATGGCTGCCCCCGTGTGGATTTCCAAAGTGCAGAGACCGACAAGTGCCGCCTGGTTTGAGGTCCAAGCCGCTGGCATTTGAGGCATGCTCAGTGTTGGAACCTGTCGTCACTTGGGGTTGAAGCTCGGGCCCGCAATGCGGGAGAGGATCTACTGTGACCTACTTCCCGGCACTTCGGACAGAGGCCCCGCTTTTGATTGGCGCCCGTGATGTTGAAAACACCAGCCATGAGGTAACAACCAGCCACACATCGCCAACACCTACGTCGCACTTGTGATGCTGAGCCTGCGGCTGTGAAGATAGCAAGGGCAGGGTGGTGCAGCCAGCGAAAGATGCACCGGCAGGGTTTCGGAACTAAGATGGTCACTGCTTTGAGCTTGGGCGGGTGGGTTCGAAGTGTACATCGCTTGGTTTGCTGATTTCGCTCGTGTCGTTTGCGCCTGTGCCTTCAGCACCATTGCCCTCGCACCAACTGTGATCCCTGAGATTCAAGTGCAACCACAATCGCAGGCGAAAGCGCGCAGCTTCACAAGCATTATCTGGTTTTTGGTACTGCGATGTTGGTTGTTGCTGTCCATTCTCAGCTATCAGCCTCTTTTCCTCGAAGGCCCCCTTCAAGGCAAGGGAGAGTACGTGGCCAAAGTAGTTGCCGCTGGCTCGATCGTGACCATTCTTCGAGGTTCAAGCCTGAATCCGGCTAACTAGATGCCCTGCGAAAGCCAAAGACTCCCGCATGAGCCGCAAGCAGACTCGAAGCAGGGACCTTCTTGGGCTTCCTGTGGAGGGTTGTTTCGATTCAAAAGTCTCTGTGTTCTGGGTCGGCTGAGCTTTGAGGATCATTCTTGGCGATGATCTCCGCCGTGTGTCCCGGTATTTATTTGGCTAAGAAGGTGTTGAATTTGGGGTCCAGCCCAAGACTCGATGGTTTGCGTTTAGTGCGTTGGCATACTGGATTTGGGAAACCACAATTCAAGGCTTGAGGTTTCTGGAGGCTGAGTGTTCGAGCACTTCACGTGCCCGAAACTATCCCTGGCAGCCCTAGCATGAGAAAGCCTGAAGTCCCAGGCCGTAGGCCGTGAATCGTAAAACTGCCTGTGCAGCAAAGGTCAACCGAAGTTCGATTGGCCATTCACTGCGGAAGTGGCAGCTGGATGACGGGAGTTTCTGCCACCCGGATTCGGAATAAGTTTGCCGAGGACTTCGGACTTTCTGTCAGCGCTTCCATGGGTTGGCTTCGCAAGACTAAGACGATCACGAAGCAAAGGCCGGCGGGAATACCCACTGCATATTGGCTGTGTTGTTGCCTTGATATGCTAGTAACAGGGCTCTTCGCATTTCGTAGGCACAAACATATGCATGCGCTTCTGGGCAGTCAGTTCCCCATGCCGCAAGGTCTGAAGTCTATGAAGCGGTCGGAGCTTACACAGCCACTAAGCAAGCCCGGTGCAAAGAAACGAGGGTGGCTTGGGGTGGACTATGCAAGCAGCAGACGGAAGGGTGGCATGCAGATCAGAGAGGAGTAATCCCGAAGCTAAGACAACCCCAAGCTGGAACTCCCAAGAAGGTTGTGTACACTGCATTTCCAGCCTGGACAGCGAGAGTGACATCCGCTTCGTCTACTGCGCGGCCACGATCTGCCACATGTGCACAAATGGAAGTGCAGAGGTTTTGCTTCGTGATGACGTGAACAGGTCGAATGTCGCGGTCAGGACTCGGGACAGTTCCTGACACTCACTCACTCTCGCCGGTCGGCCTTTACAGATCCGATTCGGGTTGCCCGGGAGGTTTCGGAGGCTAGCTGAGGTGCGCTGAAGTCTTAGAAGGTTTGGGGAGCTCAAGGGTTTCAAAGGTCGAGTCGCATGATACGCCACAACAAGACAGAATGCCCAACCAGTTGCCCAAAGAATTCCCGAACTACTAGGCCATGTCTTCATTGGCACCTACTGCAGGGTACTTCCGTGTCGGTAACCGCATGACATGTCATTATGTTCGTGACGGTGAAGGCGTGTATGCGTTTCGGCTTACTACTTCATTGACAGCGATTGAGAAGCAGAGTAACAAATCCTTGCAGAGGCCAATAATCTCGTAGCATCTCGCCATCAGCTTTGTTATTGCTGACTGCCCAGCCCTGAACCCCTCAAGCACCTGAGACCTCAAATCCCAGGCTACATCCTAGACCTCTGGCATGCCATTGACGTCGAGGCACAAACGCCGATCTCTGGAACAACAATTTCGGTTCTGGATCTCAGGGTGAAGAGTTCCGAGATGTCGAAAACGTTGTTGAAGAGCTGAGAGCTTGTTTCAGAATTGGCTTTACAGGTCCAGAATTTTGCGGCCTGTGGAGTATGTATCTAATCTGCCGCAATCAACCGATCCGGAATTTCGAGCATCCAAGACTGATTGCACGAGACCAGACCATCATAGGAAGCGTGGATCAATAAGCTTGTATCCCAGAGTTAATATTAAATTTCCGCTGCGACAGCTTGATCTGGCTTGCCAGACAGGCCAGGTGTCAAACCGCTTGTTCTGCACAACCAAATTCCCGGCCCCCTGTCCAAGAGCCTCTCTATCGACGGAGGCGATGACTCGGTTTATCTACGCCTCACAGTCCTATGACGGTGCCTTTGGCATGGGCCCAGGAGCCGAATCGCATGGAGGCCTGTTGCGAGTGTGTCGATCTCGTCCCGGCCCTCCCACACCCGTTGCATAGCGGCGTCTAGCCGTCGCATCCCCAGGCTCTCCAACTGCACCTTCCCCTCTATGCCCGTGTTGTCCTTTCTGCTTCTCTTAGCATGAGAGCCTGCTCAAAGGAGTAGTGTGCTCAAGTTATTGACTTGTTCTCCCGTACACTGAATTGAGTCAGTCTGGGACCCTTACTACCCGTAGTAGATAGCCTTAGATACTGTGTGGGTTTGGGCGGCGAAAACAGTAGGCTGCACCTACTGTGCGGTGGCAGCCTTGCGGATGCTTGGGCGCCTTGCAGACCTTCCCAGCAAGGACCTGTTTTTGGTGGTGTTTGCCTCATGCTTCATTGAGTGGCCGGCATTCGAACATGGGATGTCAATTCTCGGGCTTGGTTTGGATTGAGGGCTCGGCACCCGCGGGATAATATGAGTCCAGAGAGACGGATCTTCACATTCGACGTCCAGTCAGCATCACCGCTATCATCACCTCCAGCATCATCGCCTTCATCACCCCATCGCCATCGTCACCATCTTCTTGGTCTGCATCGACATAGCCATCATCTTCAAAAATGATGGCTTATGATCTTCGCATTTATGCGCTGGGTGCACAGTCTTTATGTCCATCATCACCCTCTTATCATCCCCAGCACCCTGACCATCAACATCGTCATCTTCATCATCCTCATCACCATGACCATCAACATTTCGCCATCGCCGTTGGCATTTGTTCGTCATCATCGCGTTTGTGTTGTTACGCATCGCCACCTGAAGCCGGCCCGAGTTCATGTGAAATCTGCGGCGCGGTTCGGATGATTTTGAGGCTACAGGCTTATGCAAAGAGGGAGTGTGGTGCTCGGGTATCTTGGAGCAGGACCTCCTGGTGGACTGGCACCTCAGATGCTCCAGAGAAGTTGCAAGCCCTAAACCCTAAACCCTAAAGCATTTTTGTAGCCAAGAAGAGGTTAGAGTCGAGTGGTGGAAGTCCTAAGGCAAAACTCTGAGAGGCCACTAGCGATTGGAGATAATTTCTGGATCCTCAATACTTGCTAAACGAAATCTTCCACAATCCACCCGCCATGTACTTGGCAATCTTTCTGCTGGCAAGGCTTAGGGCTTAGGGCTTAGGATGAAGGATATTCTGATATTTCAATCCCTGATCCCCTGATCTCCGATCCGCTCAAGACAACCCCCCCCCCCCCCTGAGATGTAAC